TTTAGAGAATGAATTCAGAAGGCTCACAGAGGAAGAATGGAGGCAACGAGTAGAAGAATGCAAAAAGCAAGTTGCAGAAGAAGCTAGATTGCGTGTTCAAAGAGTGACGGAAAGAAGAACATGATGTAAGTCGTGAAAATAAGTAGCCGGCAATTTACTTCTTTCGACAGAAAACCCATCGTACTTTAGAAGAAAGTACCTAATATTTGAAACAACGCTTTGGTTGTTCCTATTTCCATAAAGGTGATTGGTCTAGGATTTCTAAATCAAGCTCTGTTAGCTTCACTTGTGTACTTCGCAGAATTTTTGAGAAAATGGTGGTAGCTAATTTAATCGATGACTGTGACAAGAGCAGTGTTTTTTACTCTGATGAGTACAGATTTATAAAAGGAAAAGTGTGATAATGGAACTTTGCTTCTGCTTTAATCACTGAGCGAAAGAAATTGATATAAGAGAAGCAGTTGTGGTAGTTTGATAAGATTTCTCTGGGTCTTTGACACTGTTTCAAAATTGAAACTGCTAAGTTATCTGTTGCTGAGTGATTGTAAGCTTCCTCTATGTACCAACACCTCAGTAGTTCCTCGGGACAGCGTCATGGAACCACTATTATTTGTTATCTACGTATAAAAATTACCACTGATTGTTGAATATAGTGAACAATTTGTTTATGCAGACGACTGTAAACTATACTTTTGGTTTTATAAGAAACAGCCCAGATGTTGGTAAGGAAAATGTTGATCTGTCAAAGGCTTATAAATGAGTTCAGAAATTTTTACTTCTAGGGAACGAGTTTTTTAATTTTTTTTGTAAAATTTGTATCTTGATTAATAATGAATATGGTTTTTTTGTCCGTCACAGCTCCTTATTCAAAGAGGAAAACCCGGCTGTATCATCAGTTTTTTTTTTATTTTTGGGGACTGCTGCATTATTAGGATAGCTGTCCCAAATTCTACTGCTTGATTGGCCTGGATTACCTTTTGCAGAGAGCTAAAATAATGCAACAGTAGCAGCAGGAAAATTTTGATTACATTTACTACCAAACCGCCTTCGGTACCATTTGCTGGACCACTGATTCACTGTGTACACCGTAGAAAGAATATAAGGCTTAACACCTAACAAAGTATATAAGGATAGTGTAATAATTCACGCGTTCTTAATAAATGATAGTTTTGTGTTCAATTACTAATTTTGATCGGATTTCTGACTTACTGACTAATGCTGCCTGTCAAGGCATACTGCTCGATAATGATAGAGTATTGTCCATTAACTGTTCCAACTCGCTGTACTTCTTTTGCCGTCCGTGTTTGATGTTATCTGCCTCGCTACAGTTAACTACCCCTATAGGTAGTCGGAACTACGTACTAAGCAAAAAACTTGCTGGCCTCATCTATTATAGCTTACTTTTTTCTGAATAAAGCCCTCTTTGGTCGTTATTAGTAAAAGTTTTTTGTAAGTCTGGTAGTTGTAAAAAGTTGAACAAATGACCGAGAATTTGTTTCTATAATGTATTTTGGTTTTTCTTTGACTGGTAACATTGGAAACGTCTGCTGTTTGCGCAATATACTTTTATCTATTTTGTACGGGATGTAAAAATAGTACAAAATCCAACATGATAGCAAGACTGTAGAAGTTTGTTGCTTTCAAATTCTAATGTCATCCATTAAAAACATGTTTTGGTATGGTTAACTATCTCTTTTTTTCTGCTTTTACAGTTGTTTTTGAATGCTACGCATCAGAATGCGAACGAAAAGGTACAAAGTGTCAATTTCAAGTTCTCTTTACCATAACAAAATCCAACATTTATTACCCGTTTTATGTGGTGAAAGAGAGGCGAGATCACTGGCGGATTGCTTGGAATGTCGTTCGGCCGTACTTTGTCCGAGAAAGCAGTATTGTAAATATTAAAGAGAACACCGGGAACATTCCTACCACACAAAATAATGTTTCAAAACTTGAGAGTGGAAGGATGAATTCGGTAAGAAGTGCAGCACCCACACCAGCTACCGTCTGAAAACTCAGCATAATAGTATAGTACTCACAGTGGAACAGAAGATTTATTTTTGCAAATTTATTCGTAGTACTGCTTTTGTGACGGCAAAAAGAAAAAAATAAGCATTTTTCAAGAAACATAAATAAAAGTTTAGTATCTGAAAGCTTCACTCCACAAGTTTTTTTTTTTCATACTCATCAATATCTGTGTTGCTGAAAAGTAACAAAGATTACGGGAGTTCTGTAGACCTTTTTTCCGCTTCGCTCTGCACATAGTTTTTTTTGATTCAGCGGAATAAAAATGACTTACAAGCGCAATTTGTACGCCTCCATAGAGAACCCCAAAGTGAGTTTTACCAAAGCATTTATTAGTAGCATATGGGAGCAATGTATATACTGATCCAATGCAACTGAACATCATACATACCTGAAATTTCTTCTTTCAGCGCTTTGTTCCATGATTATGTATTTGATTTATTCGGCAATCAGAGTTGCATGCCAAATAATAAAATTGATAATCAGTTCAGGTGCCAATTATATTGGTAAAGTGCATACCCAAAGTGCAAACATTAGCTGACTTCCTAGAAGTTTGGTGAACGGAATAGTCCACATGAGAACAGCGCTTAACCCGCAAACGAATAACATACAGTTCTGGTAAGAAGTCTGAAAATTTTTGGTATAATTCGTTGCGTGATTCGTTATGGCAATTTCCCTTTGTGTTAAATATTTTCGCTTTTACAAGTCCATTGAAAATCTATAAAAGCTTTATTCTACGTTGACTAATTCAGCAACTTTGAAAACCTAACACACTTACTGTCCGAGAAAATTATGGGGATAAAAGCACTTGATGCGTAACTTAAGGATTTGTTTCTCGTAAAGGTACACCATCTAATCTACTTCAACCCTTGTTGCTTTTTATTCTGTTCGCTATTCAGTTTCTTCATAAAAGAACAATGTAAAATTCTTGATGCGGAATTAAAATGGAATTCAGGAGAAAAACCCTACTAGAGAAGATGTAACTGCACATCCTCACAACTTGAAAATAAGAAAACACACTTTTTTTTTTCAAAAACCATGTCAACTGACAAAAAAGAAAAAAAAAGAAACAATAAAAAAAATTACTTTATCTACAACTTGGCCATAAATAATGCGACTTAAACAGTTAAAAATAGATGCCATCA